GCTGTATTACCAACACAAGATGACTCAGAGAACTGCTTTTTAAAATTGTTATTAGTGTATCAAGGATGAAAAGTAACCTCTATTTATAGTTGCACAAAACTTTCAAATGCCGATGATTTCAAAAATTACTATGATGTATTCGTAACTGTCATAGTTGGTATCACTGCTGTGGATACTTGTAACTCGAATCAACTGTAACCAGACTTGTAAACAGTGTCATTATATTTTAACATAATATTTTTATCATTATTATTATTATTATTATTATTATTATTATTATTTGGTTGCTCGTTTGCTTTTCTTTATGTAAGTCAACCGCGCAACGCGCCGACATTGATTCATTTTACTATCTCGCCCTTTCGTAACAAGAGAAAAAATTGAAATCTTGCGCTGGAAAACGGCGAAAACGGGTTTTTCATCAGAAAAACTCTCATTGCCGGGCCATGGAAAAGTAACTAATGGGGCTGCCCCACACATACTTTCTCGCATTGTTTCTAAATTTGCACATTTTCTCAAACTTAGAGAGTTGAACGGAAACGGAATCTATCCCATTCTTGTAAGCATTACTTGTTCTATGAGTGAAAAAGAAATTGAAGAAAGAGTTTCCATTGGTTTTTGAGAAAAGGTTTCTTTTTATAAATTTCAACAAATTACACAAGAACTACTCGTTTTTTTAAAAACAATGTACACGACCTTGTTTTAAAGAGCTAGTTTTTTAGAACATATTTTGTTTTAGGTGAAAATCTTCACTTTTGTAATTTTTAATTGTTAAAATTTTCCAGTTTCAATACAGAGTTCACCGAAAAGAATCTAGCCCCATTTTTACTCTCTTTGATACATATGAGAAGAAAATTAAAACAAAAAACAATTTGAAGCCTGTTTTTTGGGAAAAAATTGAAAAATTGTACATTTCACACAAAATTTCGCGCTAAAACTACTAATATTTTCGAAAAATTCTACATGATCGCACTTCAAGATCTTGCTTCAAAGAACAGAATTCATTCAGATAAAATCTCTATCTTCAATATTGTAGTTGAAGGTAATGCCGAAAAAAATTGAGTTTATAATTTTCGAAAAATCAGGAATTTCATCGAAAATGAGACCTGTGGTACTGTCTTAAGCCTCCTTTGGCGCTATCCGAGGGCAAAGTTTGATCAAAATATTTCGAGCCAATTTTGAGAATTTTTTTAAAATTTGAGCTTCGTGTAATATACCTCCAAAAATTATGTTTGTAAATGAGAGCGCCTCGACTTCATTCGGTAAAAAAAATTGGTGCTAGTCGCTATTCCAACAAAAGTCTGAATTTTCGAAAATTGCAACAAGTTAACTTTTCTAAACTACAAAGTTGAGGATAAACATCTTTACCTTACACAAAATGTTCTAAAAAATAGCTCTGCAAGTCTTTTATAGAATCGTGGCTCTTTCTAAAACAGGCTATAATGTTGTTTTTTGCTTAATTGAGCCACGGAATTTTCAACCTCGTGGCCAATTTCGCATTGTAGGGTCTGCTTCAATGTAATACTTTTCTTTCAGATAGTGTGATCGCGAAAATTCGTAGAAATGGAGCTGCTGCGCGTGTCAGTAGTCATCACAACCAAAGTGCACGAAGGCATTGTCGAGGGATATTCGTTTGAGCTTTGGCTGAGATGATTTTTCGTGTTTCGATTGTCCGGAATTTCTTGATAACACTGGTTTGTTACTTACTTTCTATTGCTTGTGATATTTTTTAGTATTACAATATATTTAATCATAAAATACTTCATTTTTACTTCAATGAGGTTTATGTATTTTACAAGGGTGTAGTCACGAATAAGTACACAATCTTAATTTTTTTTATTATGTGAAAATGTTAATTTTAAGAAAGTTTTTATACAATTAAAGTTATCTTATGATATTGTAAGACTGTCGCTAAACATATTTATTTTCCGAATATTTGTGACTTTAGCTTATCTAGTAACCCATTTCGGAGAGCGCTAGTTCATGTTTTGGCAGTTTGGCAACCGCGTGTCTTTGCTGCCTTTCAAGACGGTCGTGCCTGGCACGTCGAGACAGCAGAGGAGTGAGGGACCGTCCGGTCATAAGCTGCAGCGATTTTCCTGTTTCTGTGTCTTCCCCCTTCAAGAGCTCACGCGGCTCACGCTCAAGAGGTACGCGGCTCACGCGCCGGAAGCTTGTCGCGCTGCACAGAGTGGGTGCACAGGGTGCGCTGATGTATGAGCGGGAAAAGAAAGTCTCTAGTCGATTCTGTCCAGTACGCTTAAGAAACAAAACTGTCATAATAAAGATATGGAGGAAAATTATGATTTTGTCAATTTATAAACACCAACCCAACAATAATTATTTAATAAAAGCCGGCTCACAGAGAAATCAGAAAGATGTCGAGTAATATTACCGACAACCCCTTCATTATTTACAACGATATAAGTGTATTATTATGGAATCTGAGAAAGGCGATTACTCTTTTCAGTGTAGTGTCTGCTGTACCTTGAAGACTAACTACGACAGAATACGTGCTTTCTCTTTCTTCCTACTAAAATTAGCCACATTCTCTCAGAAATCTGAGGGCACGCGGCCGTAAGTCGCTAAAAGTGAAAGGTATGCCAAAGATATTTCATGCGTTGCCAAATAACCTAAACAAGAAAAAAGAAAAAAAAGCTGTGTCCAGACATGGGTTGCGAGTTACGCTAAAGATCCTGTATTTGAATCATTTATCTTGTTACATTTGCTCAGTTTTCGTAATATTCTAATTGCGACATTTATTACTAGCGGTGTTATAGAATGGATGAAATTGGAATTTGCATGACTGAATCTATGAACAAGGATAAATTAAATAATTTTAGGGGGAGTATTGACGAGACTGGTGGTACAATTAGTCGGCGAATGGGAGGGGATTCTGATGCTGATGACGCGACAATGACTCAACTTGTGTTGTTCTTAGCGTCCCACGTATACTTTATCAATGTTTGGGGTATTTTAGATCTTTGTATGCGATTGTTTACCGCATTTTGCATTACTTATTTTCAATTTGTTTGTAATTCATGTCAATTCCTATTTGTCGTTCTTCATAGCAAAGAACATACATAAAGTTGACTAAATAAAGTTTCATTCAGCAATTATACAAAGTGGTTTTGTACGCAACCAAATCCATTTAGTATAATGCGAAGCCGTAAATAGACTGTGGTCGTTATGACATCATTTCCTTCTTATATTTAGGAATTCAAATTAGTAATTTTCTGATATTTCCAAGTACAAAATTAAACAAATGAAAGATAGGGAAATTCTGCTGAATTTTTAAACTATAAGTCAGTTTAAAATCAAAGATTATGTACAACTTTTTAAAAAAACTAGTAGTTTTCGCGTAATTCTAGCTTGAAATTAATGCAATTAAAAAACTCTGAAAAACCGTTCCAAATGTTACTAAATTTTTCCCCACGTATAAGGGACGTTTCAAAGAGTGGCATTGGTCTCATCGTTGACCACTCTGAATTACCGAAAATTAAATTTAGAAAAATGCAAGACAGTATGTGCTAATGTAGCAACCCCTGGTTTACACATAGTTTTGATGTCACATTTTGATTAGTATTAAGGAACCTCTCAGTTTTAAAAGTGGAAACCATTAACACTATGAACCTAATCTATAGGACATTCACACTTTCTGCGGAGGCATGCAGATATATTAACCAGATAACTATGTTTTCTACTTTTGTGAAATTTATAATATAGTTTAAATTGTAGACACTTAATTTTTAGAACTAGAGCCCGGAAGTTGGCAAAATTCTATCTTATTAACATTTTATGACTCAACAGTAAGAAAAATGGTACTTTTTGGGGTTGGTTTTGCAACTTTACATTTCGCCTTCTACTTTTCCCTATTTTTGGTATTTTGCCATTTTGTCTTGCTTATTTCCCCTGGCACCTACCTCGATCAAGCTGACACATCCTGCAAGCCTAAGCCACTAGATGGCACGGTCGTGTTTTGCCATTCGGTGAAAACAAAGAACAAAATCATTCTAATTCCGAATTGTTCACAGTACTGTTCAATGTGATTTTCCGTTGTCAACTTTTTTTGCACTCCTACTTTAGCCAGAATGCCAGACCATCCGGGCTCTTAACGTTACAAAGTCACTCGTACGAATAGACTATTAAAAGCTATGAAAAAATGTATATGTGAAGCTAATTATTCATTTCAATTTATATTTCCCTTTATTTTACTTGGAGTACATTATAGTTCTCCTTCATACATAATGTTTGGTCTTTGACGTGAAGTTCATCTCTTAGAGGGCTTATGTAGCTAAGAAAATATGAAATTAATTTTTACAAACTTATCTTTGAACGGGTCCTTATATTAGCTTTAGAACATTGAGAAATTTATATTGCGAAACTTCTTAAGATCATGAATTCACAATTACCAACAAGTCCACGTAAAATTTAAAATCTTTTTCCGAAAGATATTAATACTAGTTTCATCCGATCGCGATACACGACTTACGGCAACTCATACCAATGCAGCACTCGCAATCACCACTTCCAACAATTTTACATTACGAACGGCATCAGGAATGTCAATTGGAAATTAGTAGCGGCAACACCCCACATTCCAATTCATCCTTAAACAAGCGACCCGAGACGAGAATTCGAATACCAGATATCAAAATTAGAGAATTTTTAGTAATTAGTAGAATTTTACATTTTAACCCCCCTAAATTTGAGAAGTTTCCACCTCACAGTTCAGGACTGGTACCACCAGCATAATTATTCCATTCCCATAGTAATGACCCTGCAAAATGCAATTACTAAACTTATTTCCCAGTAATCATTTGTATAATGTGACTGTTTGACTGTCAGCATCTTACAGTATAAACCATTTGATACAAAGTCAGATTAACATTTTTAATCAAAGAGGAATTTTCCTCTTAACATCAACCATTCCTTACCTTAATACTGCTCTTACCATTGTTGACTCCTTTGTGAGAAAGGGAATCAAGGATAAAAGAAACAAAATTAAGATTTAGATGTTTATTCAACACATTTAAATCCTTCCTACACATTCCCCATTCTTAATTTTTCTACAATGTCACCTGCTTAATCTTACCTACAAGGTCCAAAATAAAGTTAAAATTTTATGCTAAGGAGTTAAAAAAAATCCTAATAAAATCCATCAATACACGTTTCAGATCATTAGGCTGACACAAGCTGTTAATACATTTTCAATAGCTAACTGCAGTTCCGTGTTTATAAAAATTAGAATTAACCGCTTTCCATCTTAATGGAAGACCAGTATATCCAGTCCAATTAGCTAAGCAGGTCAATGTTTCACCACTTCCAAAAACTCGACTGCAGAATAAGATTTAATTAAAAGTAGTTCCAAAACAAGATCTTCTTTAACTGCATAAAAACTACTGCAGGTGACACCATCCAATTGAATTGTTTCACATTTCCTACTCAGATGACCATACAAATTCAAACTGAAGATACATTGTAGCAGTAATGGCATAGATCTTCATTGAAGGCAGCTGAGGCACTCAAAATAAAATTACTATTTTAAGAACTTTATTCAAACACGGTCCCTTAATTAGCACCAAGAAATTAATACTGAAAGAATATTAATTCAGCTGCATGTATACAAATCAGATCATTGAGCATTGTCATTTTCCCATTAATTTCTATATACAAAATTTTCTAGTCATTCCCTAAACAGGCCAAAGTTTGAAGGTACAGTCAAGATACATACGAATTAAAAATTGAAAAAAAACAATATATACTAAGAAAACATTTATTACCAAATGGTAAAAAAAAACACTTTGAAAATGCGGAATGGAATTCTGACCAATTTAATTTTAGTAAAAGAAAGTTCACCTTTGATTCAGTCTCCTTTGTGGAGAACATTGTCTGAATGTATATATACAGAGTATTTCACATATTTCAAATTAACACAACACTGGTACACTAAAAAAGCCACTGCTTCGGCGATTGTCGTCGAGGTCTCCGAGCACTTTCGCCGATCTTTGTCAGATGAACTGACCACGATTGTGGTTCAATTGATATCCCCTCTCTGTCGTAGATCATAACTGTCCTCGAAGAATGGGGGACTGTAATCATTGCAACACACAAAACAAAGGTCTATCATCACTTCTCAATTAAGATCGAAGATTATAAGGCTATGTGCATGGATCGCAAATTATTTCACGAAGTTTGGAAACTGGTAAGGTCTCTCCATGCTGACTTTAGCACATGCATCATTTAATATTGCTAGAATGCGACGATTAAGGTTTATCTGTAGATCTGTTGAAATATGAACTTTTGATTGACTCATGCAGAAATCATGAAGATTTGTAATAGTGAGTTAATTTAACAGATTTACCTAAGAAAAAAGGCTTAATGAGGAGTCATACTACAGGACATTTTGAAAAAGGGCAATAATAGGAGTTTTAATTTGTAGCAAGTTGGTAAATTAACCAATGCATTGCAATGAAGTGACTATAAAAATACTTGTGAAAGGAAGCTGGTTGTGGTTGAATAAAAACCATTTTTTCTTAAGAAGGGATCCAAATTAACCGTAATTTTCGAAGAATGCAGGGAAGCAATGCATAGCGTTGCCAGGACATACTGAAAGTTTCATGATACCTGAGTTCTTCATTTTCGTTGCCTCTCCCTTAGTAACCATCGCCTGATCGACCGTAGCCAAATGAACCTTCCGAACTTCCATAGTCCCTGGAGCTGAAATAATTGCACAAAGTCGTGGAATGTGCACAACTAATACAGCGAAGCACAAAACGTAGCACAAGGGCGTAGCACATAATATTGACTTCACTTCATGGAAATGGAACAGGCCACCCCTGCGGTTACTGTTGTCGCTGGGACATGTTTACAATTTGTAGAGCAGCTGTTTATTTTTTGTAAAATAATAGTTTTCTCATGTCCAGAGTAGACAATCCATGTTTAACACAACTCACCGCTTTAAATATTCACTCAAATTGGCGCAGTTCCAGTTTCATAAAATTTAATAAATCCATACTGAAGACTTAAAACCAGTGATACGCTATAGACCTTCAATAAGTGGAAAACTAAAAGCCATTGTGTCCCAACGTAAAATGTCATGAACCATCTGCTATGTCCATGTAGGAACGTAGACCATTTGTCCCATTATTCGAAGTCCAAGGGAATTTTTTTTTTTTTTTGCATGTCAGAATGCCACCACTTTTCAGATGAACAGAAGACTAAAGACTGAAGTACATTGAAATGTATTAACAGCTGCAAATATCAACCTAATTCTGAAACACTGAAAATATTCGCGTGGACATAACTATGCAGTGGGACCGGCAAGTGGTCTCATGACAAGATGAACTTGCAAGAAGTAACTACAGCTCAGGCTTTTAAAGCTCAAAAAAACTTCGTAGTTCCACACCATTGAAGGTTCTATGGGTCACGGCAATTGAATATGCTACTAATACTATTATAAAAAATATAAGCATGTAGTTTCTATTTCTAATATCACAGATAATTAAGGATAAATTAAGATCAAGAACGATCACACCACAAAACCCACCTACAATATAGTCAAAATTTAGTATTCACTATAACGAACTACATAAATACCTTCCTCGCCCAACAGGAGAGCGGCTTCTATACCGTGACGAGCCTGAATCTCTGCCACTGTAGTAGCCATTGCCATCGTAGCTGTCTCGACTTGAAGACCGACCATAATCACGGCTGCCTCCATAACCTCCACGGCCAGACCCATAATCGTCATAGCGGCCTCTGCCCCCACGGAAACTACCCCTGGTTCCTCTTCCTCCACGGAAACCACCCCTATCAGGCATGTAGCTTCCCCTAGAGCCTCCTCGAGGAAAGAATCCTCTGCCATTAGAACGGCCCCTGAATCCACCAACTCTGCCCCCAGCCCTTCCACGGCCCCTACCTCTTGAAATTTCAACCCTCAACTTTGAACCCATTATTTCAGTTCCATTTAAGTTATCACAAGCTGATTCAGCATCATCAATATTAGCAAACTCTATGAAAGCAAACCCAGGAGGATTAAATGCCACCCAGACATTATTCAACTTCCCATATTTCTCAAATTCCATTTCTAAATCCTCTTTCTTGATACTCTCACTAAGGCCACCCACATAAACACGAGTTCCCCTAGGGGGATATGCCACATCTGTTGCCATCCTGAAAAGAGAAAAATATATTAATTTGCATGCAATAAAAGACCAAAAGACAAGAATACAAGCAATTCTTAGTTTGACTACAAAAAGTACGTTCACACACACACACAAAACTAGCACACATAATTAAAATTGTAAGTCACAATTTGTAAATCGCGCACTTTTTTTTACCAAGCTCCCATTCCGCTAGATGCGAGTGGCGGAATTTGGCTATATTGATGGTAGAATCGTCATCAAATCTAGTTTCTAGTTTCAAAACATTTATTGCAAGGAAGCGAACATTTTGGGAATCTAATTTTGGAAACCATGCCAGTTCTTCCAGATTTCATGCTTCGTTCTGAACTCAGCGGTGGGAAGAGTGGGGGTGTGTTACGGGACTAGAGAAACCTTGCGCGAACATACACAATTTGCACGGACTAGAAACTTCGCTATTTGTTACTTCTGCGGCCATATAACTTCTCCCACCCTTCCCTATTATTTAACAAATGAGGGCTCTGAACCATGCGCGGTTGAAACAAATCTTAAATTTGCTTAAACATTTCATACGAAACCGGCGTCGATAAATGCACACGGCCATTACCCCCCCCCCCTCCATCACATCAGAAAATTGCTTGGTTCTTTTTTAATCCACCAATAAAAAATTTAAAAATGGGCACAAAATTATACCAATTAATTTTTGGGGTATCTGCCGGTAAGGCTAGGTCTGACGATATTTCCTCCAAACCTTCCAGCGTTCTTTCCTAGAGATCAAATTACAACTGCGTCTTTGTTTGCACTACCAGCAGTTCTTAAACTCATCTTTACTGCTGACTAGAAAATAACAAGCACAAAAAATTTCCCTTCAGAATTTTGGCCGCTTAATTAAGTTATCATATTAAGTAAAGAGTGCATGCAAGTTCTCTACTTCGCAGTCTAGCCAATTGTCTAGCTTCTAGACAAATTTAGCAACCCTAATATGCACATCCGTTTTATGCTCCTACTGATAATACACAATGACTATAAATAACTTAAGTATTTCCAGCCAGACTCCTTACTCCCAAATTGTGCCTACAGCTAGCGGGGTAAATTACCTCTTAAGAGTACAAAGGGAAAACTAACGAAGTCCGCTAGAAAAACTATCAAAATAATTAATATCACTTCGCAAAACTGCAACTGCAATTTGTTCTGTGCACAATACCTGATAGAATGACCCGAAGATGATGTAGATCTGTAGTAGTCCCCAAGAATCAGAAGAGATTCTCTCCAAGCTCACCGGCACCAACCGCTTCTGGCAATGGCGTGAGAGGAAACGAGACAAAATCGATGAGGAAGGGGTCGACGTTACCCCGCCCAAGGTTTCACATAATCTCAAACCAGATGATTCGTCTAATTTGGGAAACTGTTATTTGAAAAGTGTGGATAAAAAAAGTGAAGAAATAAACTTTTAAAAATATTTTCGAAATTCTCCAGCTTATGTTTTAAAATATTTATTTTAAAATAACTAAAATTCTTATATTTAGCAGATAGCATTACTCATTGCGCGGGAAATGAAAATAGTACATTTTTTTATTCATTTCATATCTTAAAAATTACAAAATTAAATATATCTAATAATAACTGTTTAAGTCATCAAAATATCCCCCTAAATATATACAATTGAAAACAGCACGACATGCGTTGTTAACGTGTACGCGCCAAAATCAAATTAATAGGAGCTATATTTTTGCCGGTACAGTCAACACTTAGCACCATGTATTATAATAGTTGCAATACTAAAAGCCTTAATGTCAATGTCATTTCTGTTATCTTAATCTAGAATCACTATATCTACCACCACACAAACAATCACGACTGTAGTAACAATTACAGCCCCCATAACAACCACAACTGACTATTACAACTCCCATAACAACGACAACTAACAATTACAACTCCCATAACAACCATTAACCTCTATTATGTCAATGTAAATCATTACTATACAACAACCATCACAACAATGAAAACAATAGCCTTCACATTGAAAACTATAACCCTCATCAGTAGCAATCACTACCTACCCAATTCCTATGAAACAACAACAACAACAACAACAATAATAATAATAATAATAATAATAATAATAATAATAATAATAATAATAATAATAATAATTGTAATTGAAGTCAATAACCATCATATGACAGCACTTCTGCATTCATAAAAGTATTTGTAACATTTCTAATAAGACAATAGTTACAGGATTCTATGCTCATCAAAAATATTTCGATCGCCTATACTTTACACCACAATTTTTTGTTTAATAGCCTATACTAACATCATTAATTTAATTAATTGATTTAAAAGATTTATGTATTAAGCATTTGTTTCCAAATCTCAATACACCATCAAATATTTATCTTAGCAATAATAATGCCATTGCCTATAATAATAATCTCTAATATCAATAAATTAAAATAGCAAGAACTACCATAACAGCAACATTTACTACTACCACAGTTGCACTACCTTTTCTTTCTTTATTTTATTTTATTTTTTTTTTCAATTCTGGTTATCTCACCATGTCTCACAAATGATCTCTTTGAATTCAGTATGTACGATGTTTTCCGATTTTCAACGCTTGTCGGAGACTAGCTCCAGAGAGTATATTGACTAAATCCACTAGATCAGTTGGGTAGGATACTCTCTGAGCTATACGAGGATAGGAACATTCAGCATGGGGAATGGGTGGGGCAGGATCTGGAAGGATCGCACGTGGTCCGTCCGTATTCTATGCTCTTGATCTAGCTTTCGTCTAGAATCAGAGACGCCTCCAACACCTCTGATTAGAGCTGTCGACCTAGGAATTCGATATCAGCAGGTGCTACTATAAATTCGCCGATGTTATTTAGAACACGTCAGACATCCCGCAAACTCGCCGGTGTTATTTAAAACACGTCAGGCATCCCGCGGGTAAAAAAATAAAACTGATGTCCCAATCACAAGTTACACCATTTACAATAACTATATAACTATATCAATTGCAACTATCAGCGATTACTATCAATGTCAACCGTTAGACCTATTATAACAAAAGCAACCAAAACCAAAATTAGATTACATTCGTAACAACCAAAACAGTAATACCAATTGTGCCAATAAAACAGCAAAAAATATAAATAAAAACAATGTTTCTTTCTTATTTGATCATTTATCTTTCCTTGTTACCTTAAATATTGGTTTGAAGAACTACATTTAGGCTATCTGAATTCTTTGTCTCTCCATCAGTTGCAATAACCATCCCTCATGACCATAAGGTAGGGTTAGTTGAGCAATGAAAATTTGAGGTTAATTTTTGTTTCTGTAGTCATTTGTTTGAAGGATCTTATTATACATTAATTAATTGTAACATGGCAAAAATTAAACCAGCGTTTAAAAATGCACAACAATGTCTTCAGGAGTAATAGATCCACAGACACAGCCATCTTCTCCTTTTTAAATGACATACTTGTTGCACTAAATCAGAAGGAAATTCCCATTGGCCTTTTCTTAGATTTGTCAAAAGCCTTTGACATCATTGACCATCATATACTTTTAAGAAAACTAGAAATGCTAGGGATTCAAGGCATTGCAGGCCAATGGATCAAATCATATTTATCAAATCGTAGACAAATAGTTGCCCTCCAACACACTAAAGAAAACAAAATCTCCTCATTGTAAATGACATGCCTTTGGCTTTAAGGAACAACAAAATAATTTTGTTTGCAGATGACACAAACATCATCATCAAAGCAAAAACACAACAATCATTAGAAAAATAAACTCACAAAACTGCATGCACTATTAAAATAGTTTCAAGACAACAAACTCATCATAAACACCAGCAAGACAGACTCTAAATTTCATGAATCCCCGATCTAAAGAAAAATTCTCACAGCATTTGCTCATAAATAATAACCCTGTAACAATATCTCATGAAACTACCTTCCTCAGTCTAACAATTGAAGAAAACCCAAAATGGAATGCTCACATCTCAAATCTTAACAAGAAGCTCACCAATACACCATGAGCCCTATACACCATGAGATCAAACTCCAACATTGAGACACTTCCTATAATGTATTTTGCAAATGTACACTCACACCTAAAATATGGAATAACATTCTGGGGAAATGCCCCTGAAAGCACATTTATTATCCAAAAAAGAATACTGTGAAGAATGACCAGCACTTATAAGCTGGAGTCTTGCAAACCCTTGTTCAATGAACTAAGAATTCTTCCCCTGCCATGCATGAATGTATTTGAATAGTGGTCTTCACAAAGAAGATTCTCACGGAAAACAGACACTTTTACTCCAAATTCTGATGTACACAACTACAACACTTGTCAAAAGGATAACCTACATGTGCCTCACCCTGAAACTACACTTTAAAACTACACACAAAAAGTATCCTAATAGAGGGCATTACACTTTACAACAAACTGGGCAATGATATTAATGACATAAACACAAGTCTTACATTTAAAAGTAAATTGAAAGCTTTCCTGCCTAATACCATGTTATACAGTGTGAAGGAGTATTCAAATCACAACAATATTGCCCTTACAAAAATATAAATAAATAAAAATTTTACTTTCTGTTTTGTGTTGACTGTTTCGAGTTGAAGCAAAATAAAAAAAAGAACTGGCACATCACGTCCTCCGATGTAAAAGGAGAATGCCTCACCAAAATTTTTGTTTCCTTCACCCTGGATTTGCTAGATGCATTAGGTGTTGCAGTAGGACTAGGTGTACATATAGAAAAAAACCTGGCCAAAACCTGCCTCATTCTCCTCACCATTTCAAGATTATTTCAAGATTTAAACATAGAATATACTAACATTTTTAAAATATATGTAATTGCTACCATAATTGATATCATGTACTATTTTAATATTATTATTGTTATAATTGTTGTTATTGTTATTAATTTTTAACAATTGTTTCAAAATCCTTCCCTTGAGTTAAGATTATCTTTCTTAAGTAAGTGAAAGCCAACACACATAGTACTGTTTTTTAATGTAATATTTCTGAACTGCATTCTTTGCCTTTGCAGTCCATTGCTTTAGTTTTCTTTGTTCATTCTCAGTTCCTCTTTGATAAAATTTTAATTTTGTCTATATCAAAATATATGACTCACCACCAAAAAGTATTGGTTTGACAATGATACTATGAGGTTTAATTTTTGTTTCTTTGGTCATATTTTGGGTGTGTCATGCGATACATCTGTTGTAATTAAATAAATTTGTTTTAATATCATACTCTTGGTTGAGATTATATTTTCTAAGCCTATAAAGGTTGATACACATTCTACTCTATTGTTTACTTTTACATTTTTTGTACTTCGATATTCTTTGTGTTTGAAGCTCATTACTCTTGTTTTATGGTGTAGGCCTATATTCTCAGACTACACCTCTGCAATTTTGATCAGCCTGTTGTTGCTAGTTTAATTTCATCTTCAACGTCAACAAAATTACTTGGTTATCTTCCCACAAAATTGTCTTTATTTGGTGACCATCTCATGGATATATCTCCTTCTCCCTTTTGTCCCATATCTTCATGATAAAATTCATATCTTTCCTGAATTTATATCTTGTATAATATCAATACTAAATGCAATAATAATAATAATTCCTATTATTATCAGCTCTTCCAAAACCCTAGTTATAATCACAAGTATAACAATAACAACTACACCACCATTATCACAGCTACATCAACAACAAGAATCAGCCACTACCTATTATAATTATCAATGTAACAATGCTAGCCATGAGGCCTTCTACAATAGTAAGTCCTACAATATTAGGCCTAATGTAAAATAAAACAACAGTCATCACAAGACAAAATTGTAGTTGTTGGCAATGACCATAAATAAGTGGAGGACAACTCTTCAGTATTAAAGGCTGTATCTGAATCATTTCAAACAGGACTTTTTATATAATTCTATAGTACACATAAAAACATTAGTATTAATTATTCCTTCAATATTATATGAGAAGAACATTGTTACTATGGCATTAATTTCACAGCAGTATGTTGTTGAAATAATTTCCTGTTTTTAAAACTTAACATAGGGCAATAAATATTAATATTCATCACCACCTTACACCACTTAGGAATATACCAAATTATCTAGAGAACTCTCCTCATTCTCTCTGTGATCTTGCAATTTTGTGGGAGGTAATTTCCTAAATCTTGAATGACATTCTTAGTTTTAAGTTTCATCCTTTTAACTTCATTTCTTATTTTGTCTCTTCTTGTTACCTTTAATATTTGCCTGAGATACCTCCTTTGAACATTTTCGTTTTGTTTATCTTTCTGCTTCAGTATTCATAACCCATCACCATAGGGTAGTGTTGGTTTGGCAATAATTTGTCTAATTTTTGTTTCTGTGATCATGATTTGGAAATGTAATAGTT